ATACAAGTCTATATATATAAAGTCCTTATATATATATATAAAGCCCATATATATATATAAAAAACTCCATATATAGAAAGTCCATATATATGAAGTCCATAAATATATATATGAGGAGATAATAAGAACAAAATTAATAACATTAATAAAAATCAATAAAAAATAATAAAATTTCATAAAATTGACAGAATTTTAAAAATTAATAAAAATTAAGAAATGAATAAAAATTAAGATTTCACTCCATAAAATTTGATTTCACTCCTCTGGGGACTATTTTTCCTCAGAGCTTCTCCTGCCTTTGCTTGGCATGCACAACAGCACAGCGGGTGTTTACATGGATTTTCATCCCCCATGGATGTGTCCGTGAGGGGGTGGGAAAATGGGATTTGGAGAGAGGAGAAGGCTGAGTTTGCACTTTGGTTTCTAAGGGGAGGTGCTGGAAAATACGCGTCACAAATCGGTCAAACTGAGAAACGGGTTGAAAGGGATCTTTCAATTTGAAATCTGAAATATCTTCAGCACCTGCAAAACGTGACTCTCAACTCAAGCAGGCACTTTATTCCCCACCAAAACAAATGGAAAAAGCCATTTTTTTTCCCTAAAAGTGCCATCATCCTTTGAGGATCCATAGGAATGGTCCTGTTTCCCAGTGCAAGCAAGTGGGTTCCCTGGAAAGCCTCAGATGAGTCATGAGTGATGTAGAATAATTTCCTCACCTCCAGTTCTGTGTCCTGTTCTGGTGTCCTCACAGGACCTGTTGGAACAAGTCCAGAGGAGGCCACGGAGATGCTCCAAGGGCTGGAGCTCCTTTACTCTGGAGCCAGGCTGGGAGAGCTGGGGGGGTTCACCTGGAGAAGAGAAGGCTCCAGGGAGACCTGAGAGCCCCTTCCAATGCCTAAAGGGACTCCAGGAGAGCTGGAGACAAAGTTTTTAGGAGGGTCTGACGCAGTAGGACAAGGAGTAATTGTTTAAAACTTATAGATTTAGGTCTCCTGTCATGAAGACATTTTTGACCATGAGGGTGGTAAAACACTGGGTCAGGTTGCCCAGAGATGACCAGATCCCCCATCCCTTGAGATATTCAAGGATGAGGCTCTGAGTAAGTTGGTCTAGTGAAAGGTGTCCCTGCCCACAGCACGGTTGGGACTGGATGACCTTGAAGGTCCCTTCTGACCCAAACTTTTCCTGTAATTCTACAATTTTGTGATTCCGTTATTTGACTTCTGACCCCTCTTGGTCTCTTGCAGGTTCATCTCTGCGGTGTTACAGCTGCAAGAACCAGCTCAGCAACTCCAAGTGTCTGACCGAGACGACATGCACTGCTGACAAGAACACATGCAAGACAGATGTCATCCGTAAGGAAAAGCAGGGGGGAGGGAAATGTCCTAGCTGGAATTTTGCAGCTAAACTTGTTCCCAACCTCAGGTGTCCAGTCCAGCCTCATCTAGTCCAGATACACCAGGGGTGATCAAGGATGAAATCTCAGAGTGCAAATATCTCTCACCTGTTACAAATTCAGGTTTAATTCTCTTTCATAACATCCAAAATCATTTACTTACGAGGGCAATAATCAAGTTTATGGCTTTGAAATACTTGCAAACACGAATTAAAATGTGAGGGGCTGAGTCTGGTGAAACCTTGTTCTGAAGTCAGGAGGAGCTTCACTTGAGAGCTGATTTTCAGTGATTTCAAGGAAATTGAGAAAATTCCTCCTCCATCCAGCTCTGAATGGAGCCATCCATATATCTTTATGATTTTATTCTCCCATTCTCAATCTGGTTTGCCCTCTTCAGATCTGTGCTGACAGCTCAGCTGCTCTTAGACCCAGGGACACCAATGAGATGTTCAAACTCCTCTCTGTCAGGCAGTAGATGTAACACCTCCACTAGGAATTATCCTGGTTGGAAATGTGCAAATCCATGATATTCCCAGGCAGGAGAGCCAACATGCTGCATAACACACTTGGTCCCATTTATAGCCTATGGTAAAAACTCAGTGCCTGGAATGGATTGCACAGGATCAGGAGATATCATGGAGACCAAAATCTGCTGGAAAACAGCAGAAATTTGCCAAAAAATTGGGCTGTGCCTCTCAGGAACAAATCAAAAACCAATTCTTCCATCTGAAATGGGTATGTGTGGGATAGGGATTAACATTGACAGAGGGCAGGGTTGGATGGGACATTGGGAAGAAATTCCAACCTGGGAGGGTGGCAAAGTGCTGGAATAGAATTCCCAGGAAGCTGTGGCTACCCCATCCCTGAAAGTGTTCAAGGCCAAGTTGGATGGGGTTTGGAGCAACCTGGGCTAGTGGAAGGTGTCCCTGCCCATGGCAGGGGTTTGGAATGAGATGACCTTTCAGGTCCCTTCCAATCCAAACCATGCTGTGACTCTCTGACTTTTTTCTCGAGAAATGAGCTCAGATAAGAATTATTACTCAGTTCTGAGAGGCTTGGCTTGCACTGAGTCCTTGTAGTGATGGTCCTGCTTTCTTCCCAGGGGTTGTAGGGCTCTTCAGCATCATCAACAAGGGCTGTGAGTCGTCCTGTGAAGTCTCCTACCAGGACTTCAACGTGGGCAACAGGAACGTCTCCTGCTGCAGCAGCGACCTCTGCAACACCAATGCCGCGGGCTCCGTGAGGTCCAGCTATGGCATGGCAGGAGGGGTAGCAGCTGGTGTGATCTGGATCTTCCTCAACAACAAGTTGTGAGGAGCCAAGAGGCCTCCCATGACCACAAAAAGTGTCAGAGCACCCATCTAACAACAGGAATTGTAACCAAGAGTGATGAGGTGTGTTGGGCACCCAGCACGCTTGGAGCTGATGGCTCTCTTTGCCAGATGACAGCTTCTTCTTCACCTTTATTGCAAAGCTGTAATGCTACCAGATCAGAAAATACATGTTCACGCTGCCTGCAAAACACCTAAAATAAACTTATGTCCAAATCAAGCATCAGAGTGTGGCCTGTTAATCACTCAGCCCCCTGTTTCTGCCCCAGCAGCCACTGCAGGGGGGTGTTGTGTGTCTGGTTCAACCTTGGTCCTCGCTGGGTTATGTGAGCTGATCTCCTTGTGTGACCAGGAATCCCACCTAGAGGATGAGGGAAAGGCTGTGGATGCATCTGCCTGGGTTTCAGGAAAGCCTTTGTTACTGTTTCCATGGCATTCTCCTGGAAATGGCTTGGACAAGGTGAACTCTTGGCTGGGTTAAGGACTGGCTGGCTGGAGGCCCAGAGAGTGGTGGGGAGGGAATGGTGCCACGTCCAGCTGGTGGCTGGTCACTGGTGGTGTCCCCAAGGGATCACTCTTGGGGCCAGTCCTGTTCAATAATGAGTTTATTGATGATCTGGGTGAGGGGATCAAAGGCATCCCCAGTAACTTCACTGGTGAGGCCACACTTCAAGTCCAGCATCCAGTTTTGGGCCCCTCGTGACAAGACAGACATTGAGGGGCTGGAGTATGTGCAGGGAAGGGAACGGGGCTGGGGAAGGTCTAGAGAGTAAGTCCAGCTGAGGGAGTGGGGGGGGATCAACCTGGAGAAAAGGAGACTCGAGATGGACCTTTTTGGTCTCTACAACTCCCTGACAGGAGTTTGTAGCCAGGTGGGGGTTGAGCTCTGCTCCCGGGGAACAAGGGACAGGATGAGAGGAAATGTCAAGTTGCACCAGGGGAGGTTCAGGTTGGACATCAGGAGGAATTTCTTCATGGAAAGGGTAGTCAGGCATTGGAAGGGGCTGCCCAGGGAGGTTTGGAGGCCCCATCCCTGAAGGTGTCCAGGGAAGGACTGGATGTGGCACTCAGTTCCCTGGGCTGGGAGACAAGGTGGGGATTGGGTACAGGGTGGACTCCATGGTCTTGGACCTCTTTTCCAACCTCGATGATTCTGGGATTCTGTAGGTTCTGAGAGATTCCATGGCACAGCACAACAGAGGTGGCCGCTGTGCCTCCAAAGCTTGAGGGGCTCTGGCTTATGACAAACTCTGGAGGGCACATCCCCCAAGCAAACCTGTGAAGAGCCATCACACCTGAAGGGGGACTTGCTGGTGACCTACAGACCCTGGGACCCTACACCATGTGAGGCAACAGCAGAGCTCACCTTCCCTGCTACATGTTCCCACAGCCATTCCCACTCCTTCCCAAAGCTGTAGCACGCTTGGGATGGTGGGCAGGACTGCACATTCAGGTGCCTGGAGCACCATGGTGGGCAACGACCACTGGAGTGAAGTGGAAAGATGTCCTGGTATCCTGGTATCCACGGTATCCTGGTCAAGCAAATCAATTCTGGGATTGCCAGTCTCCTTCCTGGCCCTAGTGGCATCCTCTGAAAGACCTTGTTCCCCATGGGCAGGTTCCTCCTTGATCCATTTTCCCCCTCCTTGATGGAGCACCCACCTGGTGGGACACCCCCAGTTCTACCCCGGGTGAGACACAGTCAGTGAGGGATGGGGAGGAGGCAAGTTTGGGGAAAACACAGAGGAAAACAAGAGTGGGGGATGTAGGGAAAAACAGGGAGCTGATACCTCTCTTCCTGAGGTGCCCTCAAGACAGGATTAGGAGTGCTGAACAGGAAGGTGAGACTGGTGTTTCCAGAAGATTTGTTGAGGGCATGAGATTCCCACACAGCCTTTATTCCCTTCCCTATAATAGGTATTTTCCACGTTCACCCATGATAATGGCTTTAGCTGAAAGAGGGTGGATTTAGATTGGATATTAGGATGGAATTCTTCCCTGGGAAAGTGGTGAGGCCTTGGCACAGGTTGCCCAGAGAAACTGTGGCTGCCCCATCCCTAGAAGTGTCCAAGGCCAGGTTGGACGGGACTTGGAGCAACCTGGAATAGTGGAAGGCATCCCTGCCCACAGCAGGGAGTTGGAACAAGATGATTTTAAGTTCCCTTCCAACCCAAATCATCCTGTAATTCCAAAATTCCATGATATTTCCCCATTCGTGGGACCTCTTGTTTGTCTGTCTCTACCTGTCACATGTAGATTCAGTTCACATCTGATGAAGTGGCTTAGAAGAACCTCTGGCACTGATACAAACACCATGTTTTGCCCACTTTTCCTGGTGCAAGGAATGTGCCAACACTCCAGCTTCAAATATGTGGAAAACCACTTCAAGCACTCTTGGATCCTGGTACCAATGAGGTGTCTGAGAGCAAGGCAAACTCTCATATACTCTTACAGATTCTCTACATAGTTATAAAGTCTAAATTATGGTTTGCCTTCTCCAGGTGGTTTATTTTATGGATATAAACCTCTATTTTCCCACCTTGCACGGGGAGGTCCTTTGACAAAAGCAGCAGGGAAAGTACAAAGAGACCTGAAAGAAACTCTCAAGTAGATTTTTTGAGCAAAACAAATGTGAAAAGATTTGAGAAACAAGGTAGAAAACATTCTGGTCAAGGCCAGTGCATCAAAAGGGCTTTCTTATAAAATTCCACAAAAGAAGGCGAGGAAGAGTGTGGGGATGGACCTGGGTGGGAGCAACAAGACCCATGAAGTCAAGGAGCTGGGAAGTTGGGGCAGCACTGGGAGGAGGATTAAGAGGGGAGGGAGATGGGCCAAGAGGCCCATTTTCCTTTCTCACACCTTAAGAACTGTTGGAACTTCAAAGGATGTGCAGAGCCATCTTTCAATAAAAAGAAACATCTCCCTGGTGGAGATGAGTCACCTGGGGGACCCAAAACCATGGGACGAGGGCCAGCATCCCATTTGGGATGAAGGCAGTGGGATGGCAGAAGATAATGACACTGCCTGCTGTTGTGAAAGAGGTAAATCCTTGGGATGCAAGGCATTAACAAGCTGCTAATTGTAGGAAGCAGGGAAGGGGTTTCCCCTGAAGGAAAATCCAGGATGAACCACCTTGTTTATAGGAGTCATATCTGGTTATTGGTGGTGGGAGGACACGGGATGAGCTGGGAGATTTATTCCAGCTTTTCCAAACCTCCTGAGTCAGAGCATTGAAAAGGGGCTCATCCAGCTGCACACCTCCCAGCCAGGCTCTTCTCTGCATGGATGACCAGCTCCATGAACTCACCATTCCAGAGAATCACCTCCTTGCACTGTAAGAATGTCCCTGACACACTATTGAAACAATTCCCAGGCAGGCCTGTCCACATCCAGTGGCCCTTTCCCAACAAGAAATTTGGCCACAATGATCCTTTCTGGAGACTGGGAATTAAATGCCAAAGCATGTTAGCCAGAGCCAGAGCCACTGGAGTCCCCAGGGATGTTGGATGAGCTTCTCCCAACTTCTGGAGAGGTCAAACATCCATGGAATCATAAAATGGTTTGGGTTGGAAAGGACCTTAAAGGTCATCCAGTTCCAACCCCATGCCATGGGCAGGGACACCTTCCCCTTCCAGGTTGCTCAGAGCCCCATCCAACCTGGCCTTGAACACTTCCAGGGATGGGAATTTTGGGGATTCATCCCCAAATATAAGATAGATGAGCAGGAATGGGGGCTGCTCAGCTCTGGTTTAGCACGTTGGTCCCACATGACAATGACACCCTTTGCTTGAGTGCAGAATTTGGCAGCTTTTTGCAGGAACCAAGAGGCTGGTGGTTGACACCTGATGTTGACACTTGATGTCTACACCCTTAGAGGCTGAAGGGATGATTCCTCCTCCCAATTGCTTCTCTGAACATGCTCTGGAAGGAGCCCAGGATTGACCACTGAGTGATTCTCCTTTGGGATTATCTGGAGATTCACCGTCTCTGTGGATGTTTTCATGTGCTGGAGACAAGTAGGATGGGATGGAACACCTCTCCTATGAGGAAAGGCTGGGAGAGTTGGAGGTGGTCAGCCTGGAGAAGAGAAGGCTCTGGGGAGACCTTATTGTGGCCTTTCAGTATCTTAAGGGGCTCCAAGAAAGCTGAAGAGGGACTTTGGACAAGGGCCTGGACTGACAGGACAAGGGGGAATGGCTTCACACTGACAGAAGACAGGTTTCAACTGGATATTGGGAAGAAATTGTTCCCTGTGAGTGGGAGGCCCTGGCACAGGTTGTCCAGAGAAGCTGTGGCTG